ATACCTGTGTTCTAGTGTTGCCATTATATCTATATGCTCTTGTTTTTTTTCAAAATGTCTTTATTATAGTGTTGCCACTTAAGCCTGTATGCTAGTGTTTTAGCCACTATTTGTATGCTAGTGTTACCAGAATATCTGTTACTGCTCTTTGTTGCCACAATACCTGTATGCTGTAATCCCACTTCACTATACCTGTAATCTAAAATCCCACTTCACTATACCTGTAATCTAAAATCCCACTCCACTATACCTGTAATCTAAAATCCCACTTCACTATACCTGTAATCTAAAATCCCACTTCACTATACCTGTAATCTAAAATCCCACTTCACTATACCTGTAATCTAAAATCCCACTTCACTATACCTGTAATCTAAAATCCCACTTCACTATACCTGTAATCTAAAATCCCTCTCCAGTATACCTGTATGCTTGATATTGCTGCTACTACTTATAGTTGTATTTTTAAAAACCTTCTGCCTGGCTTTATCTAAAAAATTCCTGTCTTTTACACCTACTATTTTTTACCCTACAGATGGAATCATATCCTACTATTTGTCTAGTCCAACCTCCTTATAAAAAAAAAAAATTAAAACGTTATTTCATTTGTTAAATTGCTTCTCATTTCAACATTTGGAAAAAACTTTGTGGCCAAGTACTAAATCAGCATAGTTTAGAATGCCACCAGATTATTTTAGTCCATGTACATGATCCAGCATTCCCCAGCCATAGTAACATTAAAGATGTCTAGCTTGCCCCGCCCACAATAAAATTAAAGATGTCTAGCTTGCCCCACCCACAATAAAATTTAAAATGTGTAGCTTGCCCCACCCACAATAACATTAAAGATGTCTAGCTTGCCCCACCCACAATAAAATTTAAAATGTGTAGCTTGCCCCACCCACAATAACATTAAAGATGTCTAGCTTGCCCCACCCACAATATTAAAGATGTCACACTTGCCCCACCCAACCATAACATTACTGATGGGTCACACTTTACCTGTCCTCTGAGTACAGTCCACGATGTTTACAAAATGACGTAGTCAAAGCGTACCATCAGCGCCTCGTCACATGGCATTTAAAGCTCCCTGATGTAATGTTTACCCCTGGTAATATTAAACTTTAAATCTCTGATGTAATGTTCCTGGTAATATTAAACTTTAAATCAGTAGTGATCCTGAATGTTAAATTAAATCTTTGATGTAAATCTTAATTGTGATACAGTTTACATTCAATTAAATTATTGATATAATGCTTACAGTAATTCCAAGTTTAAAATAAAATATCTAATTTTGAATCAGTTATTCAAAAAGAATTTAACAAATGAAATATTTTGTTTTTGGATTTGTAATCTGTTGTTTCTATTATTGTGCTCTAACAAAGTTCATTTCAAATTCTTTTTTCTTTTGTTAGTGTGTTGCCACTATACCTGTATGTTACTACTATACCTGTATGCTAGTGTTGCTGCTATACCTGCATGCTAGTGATACTGCTATACCTGTATGCTAGTGTGTTGCCACTATACCTGTATGCTAGTGTGTTGCCACTATACCTGTATGCTAGTGTGTTGCCACTATACCTGTATGCTAGAGTGTTGCCACTATACCTATATGCTAGTGTGTTGCCACTATACCTGTATGCTAGTGTGTTGCCACTACTGTATGCTAGTGTGTTGCCACTATACCTGTATGTTACTACTATACCTGTATGCTAGTGTGTTGCCACTATACCTGTATGCTGTGTGTTGCCACTATACCTGTATGCTGTGTGTTGCCACTATACCTGTATGCTAGTGTGTTGCCACTATACCTATATGCTAGTGTGTTGCCACTATAACTGTATGCTAGTGTGTTGCCACTACTGTATGCTAGTGTGTTGCCACTATACCTGTATGTTACTACTATACCTGTATGCTAGTGTGTTGCCACTATACCTGTATGCTGTGTGTTGCCACTATACCTGTATGCTAGTGTGTTGCCACTATACCTATATGCTGTGTGTTGCCACTATACCTATATGCTGTGTGTTGCCACTATACCTGTATGCTGTGTGTTGCCACTATACCTGTATGCTAGTGTGTTGCCACTATACCTGTATGCTAGTGTGTTGCCACTATACCTGTATGCTAGTGTGTTGCCACTATACCTGTATGCTAGTGTGTTGCCACTATACCTGTATGTTGTGTGTTGCCACTATACCTGTGTGTTGTGTGTTGCCACTATACCTGTGTGTTGCCACTATACCTGTATGCTAGTGTGTTGCCACTATACCTGTATGCTTGTGTTGCCACTATACCTGTATGCTAGACTGTTGCCACTTTACATGTATGCTTATGAATTATTACTATACCTATATGCTAATGATTTGCTGAAATCCCTTCCCCCTCCCCACTAAACCTGTATACTGTTTGCCACTATACCTGTATACAAGTGAATGATTACTATACCTGTATGCTAATGCTGCTGCAATACCCATATGCTCAAGGTTGTTGCAACTTTGTCACACCCAACCGCTTTGTCACACCCAACCGCTTTGTCACAGCCAACCACTTTGTCACACCCAACCACTAAACTTTTGTGTAACCCGACACACAACCATTTGTCTTGTCCAACCTTGTTATCAACAAATTTTAGCAAGATTATTTCATTTGTTAAATTGCTTCTTGACATTTGCAAAAAAAAACTTAATTTGTGGCCAAGTACTAAATCAGTTTAGAATGGCACCAGATTATTCTAGTCCATGTACATGATCCAGCTTTCCCCACCCACAGTAAAATTAAAGATGTCTAGTTTGCCCCACCCACAGTAAAATTAAAGATGTCTAGCTTTCCCCACCCACAGTAAAATTAAAGATGTTTAACTTGCCCAACCCACAACAAACTTAAAGATGTCTAGTTTGCCCCACCCACAGTAAAATTAAAGATGTGTAGTTTGCCCCACCCACAGTAAAATTAAAGATGTCTAGCTTTCCCCACCCACAGTAAAATTAAAGATGTCTAACTTGCCCAACCCACAACAAACTTAAAGATGTCTAGCTAGCCCCACCCAACCATAACATTACTGATGGGTCACACTTTACCTGTCCTCTGAGTACAGTCCACGATGTTTACAAGATGACGTAGTCAAAGCGTACCATCAGCGCCTCGTCACATGACATTTAAAGCTCCCTGATGTAATGTTTACCCTGGTAATATTAAACTTTAAATCTTTGATGTAATGTTTACCCTGATAGTTCTTATAGTGGTGATACCAAATATTAAAGTAAATCTTTGATGTAAAACATAATTGTGGTATTGATTACATTCAAATATATCTTTAATGTAATGCTAGCAGGGGTGATTAAAATTATTACTTTGCAATTTTTGATGTACTACTTCTAGTAATACGAAGTTTAAAGTAAAATATCTAATTGAGTCAATTATTTAAAGAAATTAACAAATGAAATATTTTGGTTTAAAATTTGTAATGTTTTTCAACTAATTTTGCATTATATTTGCCACTTCTCATTTCATACATAATATTCTTTAATGTCCAAATATTAGTTTTAGTACTTCATTGTTGATTATTGAAGTGGATGATACCATTATGTACAATTGTAACATATGCACAGCTCAAGGTGTATAACTCTGGTTAAATGTTTGCTTTTGGTCTTATTATGGTTACCTCCCCTCTCTTAAAAATCTCAACAAAAACCAGTTCATTATATTTGTAATCATTTTATTTTTTTGATCAGGGAATGCATTGGTCATTTTTAAAGCTTGCAATATTTCAGTGAATTGTCTCAATAGTCTGGCTTTCTGTCTTTTTTTCTGGTAACTTTATATGGTCCATTGTGCTGATTTCATGGTTGTTTTTACACGGTTTTTGTGGTTGTTTCTTCTGATTTTCTGGTGACTTTATGATTGTTTCTAGTAGTTTCCACATTCTTTCTGTCGCCTCCTTTAATCTTTAGGTCTCTCAATGACCTGGCTATATTTTATAACTGGAGATGTGATTGTTTTAACAATTGTTACTGTAAGCTAGGCATTGCTTGTAGACCTAACTATATATTAATACATTTATCAGTTTTCTCATATTAAACAATTATTTTCTATAAACATGACTTCCTTCAGTTTATTTGCATTATTTACATTTATCTCTTTAAATATTTTTATTACCAAAGTACTTTAAGCCTATAGATCTAAATATATTAAATTAAAATGTGGTTTTCAATAAGAAATTTGCAATCAACAAACCAATATTTTTTTTTAGACCATAACAAACCAATCTTTAACTAGATCTAGCAAGATAATATGCTATACACATTAAAAATAACCACTTATTACTGAAGGTGAACATAAGGAAGTTGTTAAATTATAGTAAACTGTTAAGACAGTTTAAGCAAGAATTTTAGGCCATAATTACTATGACAGAATGTTTTATTTTTTAATTTATTAAATATTAAATAGCAAACTATTTGTTCAATAGTAGTCAATCAATAAAAATCCTATAGTCTAGTTAATTATTTTAAAATGCTACCCCTCCCCTTCCCTGTCACATTGTCACAAAAGCCAGACCCCCCCCCCCCCTTCTAAAATGACGTCACACATCAGCCTACAATCCCCCTCAAAATTGCAGTTGAATTTTTCTTAAAAATACTATTTTTCCAAAATCTTTCTAAACTCTGACAACCTAGAGTATTTTAATCAATTCCTGTTATAGTTTATTAAAACAGTTTTTTAAAACTGCTAAAATTAGTTTTCTATCATTCCTTTTTTGTAATGCAAAAATGTGAAGTCACATCATCTGAACCCACCCCCCTCCTTCGCCTCATCACACACCGTCACAAAACTACGGAACCCCCCCCCCCCCAACCCCCCTCTACGAGAGATGTGATTACTTATGGACGAGTCTCATCCCATTTATAAACAAAATAAACAATGGGAGGCTATAGCGCGAGGGCAAATTTGTCTACATAAATCCAGAGTGCTAACCCTTAGATCTGACATGCGCAGAGCTCCATGACAACGGAAGTATCCCTGATAAACATGTTGTATATCTGTTAGTTAATTCAGAGCTAGGTACTTTACAACCCATCAAGAAAAAAAACAATCTTTTTCTGTGGGATGCTAAAACGATAACAGTAAAATGCCTAGTAACAACCCCGCCGTCCAAAGGCCTATCTCTGAGCAGATAGAAGAACTCAAGGCAAAGATTTCGCTACTTGGTGGGTACAAAAATTAAGTGAAAATAAAAAAAAAACTTCATAAAATCTAAGATGTAGAAATCTAAGAAATCTAGTCCTAAATTCCAGCCAGATTCCATAGTAAGCCTACTACTAGTAGATCTATACTCTAGACTAACTAAAAAGAAATGTTTTATTATTTAGGGCACAGGCCTACTATTAAAAAAAAAACTTAGCATTAGGCCCAAGTATCCAATTAATTAGTAACCTAATTAAGTAGGACTGTTATTTATAAATATAACTAATGAATATTTATTATATTAGGTCCAACGTTTAGTAATATTCGTTTTTTATTCTATGATTTTTTTTATAAAACAGGCCTACTTGTTTTGTTTTTATAATTGGCAATGTTTTAGCATTAATTTGGTCTGGTTCTTGTAAATTTTGGAGTTCTGTCAAAGCCAAGTAAGAAAATAATTGTCTGCCTAGGCTTTTACTTTTTACCTTACTCTTACCCTTAGGGTGATTTTTACTAAACAATTGGATCTACCAAGAATATTATCATTAAATGCTACCCCCCCCCCCTTTGATTCAAATAGAAAACTATATAATTTTAAAAGAAAATATATAGATCTACTCCAGGGCATACAATAGTTAAAGACAGTTTATGTAGGCTATATATTTTGTAATGTTTTTCTAAATTTCATCCTGTAGAGGGGCGGGTGGGGGGGGGGGGTGAGTAGACAATCGCCAGGGAGGCAATGTCTTCCAGCCCCCCCCCCCCCTCCACATGTTCTTTCTTAGCTGCACAGTTGCGTAACCGCTCAGTAGTTTGAACTTTCCCCTCAGTCATTTTGCAAAATACATATATCCTTGTATAAGATTTTTAGAACCCCATGCACACAAAATACACGTTGGACAGGATTTTTTCCCCTTATAGGGAACATTGCTCTCCCCTCCCCAACTTCTCGTGAGATGGTTTGGTAACAATGTTTATATTAAATTACTAAAATGTAGTTTATGCCTATCAATTTTTTTCACTTTTAGTACTTTTCTTATTATTACTAAAATGTGTTATATCAGGCCTATATACTAGGTTACTAACAGACAACAGGTAATAGTAGATTATAAGTAAGGTTATTAAATAAGGTGAAATAGTGAGTTAAATATTTTATATTATATGCACAGTAGGATTAAAAATGATTCAACCAAAACTTTTAAAATGTCACAGTTTCATTTTAAAAGTAACCTGTTGTTTTCAGAGGGAGATAGGAAAGCATACTATGAATCTTCTCAATATGCCTTGAAAAAGAACAAAGAGAAGATAACAAATCTGAGAAAAGAGACAAAAGAACTGAGGCAACGCTTAAAGGACAAACTTTCGGTAATTATATTGATATATATCTCATGTAAACAAATTTTATAATTTGTTCTAATAATGAACCTTGTTGATGTTGTTATAAATTGGTAGCTTAAAATATTATCACAATCTGATCATTTGACACAAAACACCATTGTTGTTTCTTCTCCAGCAAGATTCCCATGTCATCAGTAAAGCCTTTCATGACAGACCAGTGGAGAAGGCAGCTCTGTCTAACAAGTCAGGCAGGGTAGGTGTGCTGGGGGAGGGTAATTAGTAATCAAAATATCTGTTTTATTTTATATGTGGGTCGACTCCTTCATAGTGTCTGACAGGTTCACCAGTGTGAATTCACATATATAACATAAACTGACAGTTTTAAGTTAAAGAAATATTAAAGTTTGTTAAGATATATAAACAAATTAGTTTAGATCAAATCCTAACTCCAGACGCTAATACAATACACCAAGATTTACTTTTACACCATCCTTGACCATATAATAGACTAAACAACAAGTAAACCTAATTTATTTTTCCCTGAGTATAGCAAGCAATAAAAGTTTTTGACAGCAAAGTTCCAGGAACAAATTTACATTTTTTTCCTACACATAGCAAGCTATAACAATTTTTTATCCCAGTAACAACCCTCCATTATTCTCTCTTCAGACAGCTAGCTATAACAATTTTTTATCCCAGTAACAGCCCTCCATTATTTTCTATTCACCCAGCAAGCTATAACAATTTTTTATCCCAGTAACAACCCTCCATTATTTTCCCTTCACCCAGCAAGCTATAACAATTTTTGACAACAAAGTGTGTGACTCCATGAAGCAGCTGAACAACAAACGCCATGTCACCGCCCGCAAACAAAAAAAGCTGGAGGAGCTACAGACCCAGTATGACCAGATGTCCAAAGACTCGTCTGACGCAGCTGAATGTGACAAGGGGGACTCGGCCGAGGCTCAGGTTAGTTTTCCTAAAACTGTGTTTTAACTTGGGTAATTTTTGTCTATTAGATTAACCGCAAGTATATTAAAATATTTTTGAAAAATCTGTTAACAGAACATGCGATACCTAGAGAATAGCTACGACAAAGTGGCTTTAAAAACAGAGGAAGCCAAACAAGTGCAGCGAGTTTATCTGGACATCAAACACAGGTTTGAAGTGGTAAGTGGCTCTAGTGTATTAGAGTAGGATTAGAGGTGGTTTTAAATGTGCATGTTAGACAGATGAAAAAGATTATTCATGCATACTGTTATTAGAACAAGGAATACAAAATTAAACGGAAATTAACATATTATAATTACAAAAACACAAATTTTAGTTTGCTCACATTATAAAGAAAATAAGTAGTACAAAGCTAGGAAGATTAATGATAAAAACAAAACAAAGGAATGAATTAACAACCATATATGTATGATGAATTAAATCATTAAAACAAAATAATACCATTAACAAGAATTGGTGAAGACAACATTTTAGTGTTATTCTATTATCAAATTTTATTTATTCAGTTGAAGAAAGATGCATGTGATTTTGTTTGGCTTAAAACAGTTAAATTTAATGTAAAAAATCTTGTAATGCTACATCAGGAATCTCAAGAGTACCCCACCAAACTTGATGCCCTGGAAACAGAAATAAGAGACACCAGAGCCCAGCTGAAAGACTTGAAGGCCATGCACAATGATGCCCAGATATCCAAAGAGGCTGCAGTCAATGACCTGCGCAACCATGAAGAAACTGTGTACGCAGACAGGAAGAAACGAGAGATTGAGCTGCAGAAGATGAAGAAGGAAGCAGAGGAAAAGAAAATGCAACATGAAAGAATTGAAAAAAGATTGGTAATTTATTGATTTATGGTCTTTAATGGTAAAGTTAACTATAATATGAATAGATGTTTTATGTAGAAATTGTTTGGTAATTAATTAATTTATGGTCTTTAATGGTAAAGTTAACTGTAATATTAATAGGTGTTTTATGTAGAAATTGTTTGGTAATTAATTAATTTATGGTCTTTAATGGTAAAGTTAACTGTAATATGAATAGGTGTTTTATGTAGAAATTGTTTGGTAATTAATTAATTTATTGTCTTTAATGGTAAAGTTAACTGTAATATGAATAGGTGTTTTATGTAGAAATTGTTTGGTAATTAATTAATTTATGGTCTTTAATGGAAAGTTAACTATAATAAGAGTAGATGTTTTATGTAGAAATTGTTTTCAAAAATTTATTTTACATAATTAGAAATATTAACGTTTTTGGGTGGAATTGACTTGAACCAATGTTGTTGATGATATTTCTTCAGGCCCAGCGTGGCAGCATCCAGCAAGATGAACTCAGCCCAGAACAGAAGGCAGCCCTGACAGGGGAGGACCATCAGCAGAAGATAACAACTTATGAAGAGGCCTTCAGACGCATCAAGGAGTGTACTGGTGTCTCTGAAACAACGGTGAGTTTTTGGATCTTGGGGTGAGGGTGGCGTTTGGGTTGGCTAGAATAGGTAGTGTTTGGGTTGGCTAGATAGGTAGTGTTTGGGTTGGCTAGATAGGTAGTGTTTGGGTTGGCTAGATAGGTAGTTTTGGGTTAGGTAATGGTTCGTTTAGTATTGTTTAGATTAGTGTTATGTAGTATTTGGTTTGTTAGAATTAGAGATGGTATTATAAAACAAAGTAAAATAAATTGTTTTGCGTTGTTTTCTAAATTCATGCTAAGTCAACCAGGTCACTATTTTTTAAAATAAAGTTTGAACATTAAAGTAAAAAATCTTTTAAATCTTTATCACAATTACAAATATCTAGCTCTTATCAGTAGCAAATTTTTGTTTAATAGTTAAGAAAATTGTAGGTCTATATTGTTGAACTGTTAGTGAACAAATCAAATGAACCCTTCTTTGCTGAGACTAACAAGTTAAAAATAGTCTAAACTTAAGATCACGTGGTGACACTTGTTTTGATTGGCAACAGGAAGTGGTTGTGAGGTTTGAAAACCAGGATGACACAACCAAACATTTGGAGGAGCTGAAGAAAGAGAATGAGAAACAAATCATCAGACTGAGGGAGGACAAGGAGAAACTGCAGCAGGAGTATGAGGAGATGAAGTACTCAGGGGAGGCGAAACTCTCCAGGTGGGTTTTTTGTAGGTAGGGGAGGTAATACTCTCCAGGTGGGTTTTTATAGTAGGTAGGGGAGGTAATACTCTTCAGGTGGGTTTTTAGAGTAGGTAGGGGAGGTAATACTCTTCAGGTGGGTTTTTAGAGTAGGTAGGGGAGGTAATACTCTTCAGGTGGGTTTTTATAGTAGGTAGGGGAGGTAATACTCTTCAGGTGGGTTTTTATAGTAGGTAGGGGAGGTAATACTCTTCAGGTGGGTTTTTAGAGTAGGTAGGGGAGGTAATACTCTTCAGGTGGGTTTTTAGAGTAGGTAGGGGAGGTAATACTCTTCAGGTGGGTTTTTATAGTAGGTAGGGGAGGTAATACTCTTCAGGTGGGTTTTTATAGTAGGTAGGGGAGGTAATACTCTTCAGGTGGGTTTTTATAGTAGGTAGGGGAGGTAATACTCTTCAGGTGGGTTTTTAGAGTAGGTAGGGGAGGTAATACTCTTCAGGTGGGTTTTTATAGTAGGTAGGGGAGGTAATACTCTTCAGGTGGGTTTTTAGAGTAGGTAGGGGAGGTAATACTCTTCAGGTGGGTTTTTATAGTAGGTAGGGGAGGTAATACTCTTCAGGTGGGTTTTTATAGTAGGTAGGGGAGGTAATACTCTTCAGGTGGGTTTTTATAGTAGGTAGGGGAGGTAATACTCTTCAGGTGGGTTTTTATAGTAGGTAGGGGAGGTAATACTCTTCAGGTGGGTTTTTATAGTAGGTAGGGGAGGCCAAACTCTCCAGGTAGTTTTTTTTGTAGGTTAAACTTAAACTACTAGTTTTTTCTGTAGTCATGTAGTATAAGGTTAATAGGGTAGGCTAAACTCTCCAGGTAGGTTTTTTTGTAGACTGGGGCGGTAACTATCTAGTTAGTTGTTTTTTTTTTTAGTAATGTAGCAAAAGTTAACTGGGGATGCTAATCTGTCCAGGTATTGACTTTGTAGGCACCTTGTCCAGATATATTTTAGTATAATTTTAGTCAGCAAATAGCACTGATTATAAAAAGTTGTATGGTTACCAGTTGTGAGTTTAATGTTGATCAGAGGCTTAGAAAAGTGTCAGAGAGATATTTCTTAAATACAAGGTAGCATTTATAAAAATCTTGTTACATTGTTTATTATATTGAAGAGAGACTGGAACAATAGCAAAAACTTTTAACTAAAACAGCAATAACTTTATTGCACAACAGTAAGCTACTGATAAGGTCACATGCTATATTGTTATATTATTTCTAATGTGTTATCCAAATGTAGAAAATATGTGTTTAAATTTATTTATTTATTACTATGTACACTGTGCTACAAGAGACAAAAAACAAAGAATTAAAAAAATGACAGTTTAAAAAATTTGCATTTCATCCCAGTGGGCAGGCCATGCTGGAGGAGTTCCAAGCCCACTTAGACAAAGAGAAAGAGAGGAGGGACAAAGCTGACCAGCAGCTGCAGAATTCCAGCCGCATCCTGGTGCAGGTCAAGTCAGGTGTTGAGCACCTGGCAGACAAGTTACATCACATCAAAGCTGTGAGTACTCACACTATTGTAGGTCAAGTCAGGTGTAGAGCACCTGGCAGACAAGTTACATCACATCAAAGCTGTGAGTACTCACACTATTGTAGGTCAAGTCAGGTGTAGAGCACCTGGCTGACAAGTTACATCACATCAAAGCTGTGAGTACTCACACTATTGCAGGTCAGGTGTAGAGCACCTGGCTGACAAGTTACATCACATCAAAGCTGTGAGTACTCACACTATTGTAGGTCAAGTCAGGTGTAGAGCACCTGGCTGACAAGTTACATCACATCAAAGCTGTGAGTACTCACACTATTGTAGGTCAAGTCAGGTGTAGAGCACCTGGCTGACAAGTTACATCACATCAAAGCTGTGAGTACTCACACTATTGTAGGTCAAGTCAGGTGTAGAGCACCTGGCTGACAAGTTACATCACATCAAAGCTGTGAGTACTCACACTATTGTAGGTCAAGTCAGGTGTAGAGCACCTGGCTGACAAGTTACATCACATCAAAGCTGTGAGTACTCACACTATTGTAGGTCAAGTCAGGTGTAGAGCACAAGTTACATCACATCAAAGCTGTGAGTACTCACACTATTGTAGGTCAAGTCAGGTGTAGAGCACCTGGCTGACAAGTTACATCACATCAAAGCTGTGAGTACTCACACTATTGCCTACCTTGGGTCTCACAACTCATAAGTAAGGGGTCAAAGGTTACACAAGGATTGTCACACTTGTTGAAAAAAGTGTTTCTAGTGGAAGAGGGGGGGGGGTGTGGATATAAAATTAAAATAGCTACATTTTTAATCAATTTAAAATGATATGATAATTAGATTGGTCCTACAAGTGCATTAATTAATAATTATATTACTGGATAGTGGATCTTTGTGACATCATTTCAAAGAGATTTTAACATTTTGTGATAACTTGGGAATGGGAGTTAAAAATCAACTAAAATTTCATGATGTTAATTATGAATGACTTGTAACATTTTTAAATAACTAAGTAAATTATATAATAAATTTTTTTCTTCTTCCTTGTACTTTGCTGGAGTGATCTCACTCTCCAATGATAAAGATTTGCTTTAATGTTATACAAGTATTTCCTTATCAACTGGCCTTCTCCATAAATGTTCCACAAGTATTTCCTTATCAACTGACCTTCTCCATTAATGTTATACAAATATTTCCTTATCAACTTAACTTCTCCATAAATGTTCAACAAGTATCTCCTTATCAACTTAACTTCTCCATTAATGCTATACAAATATTTCCTTATAAAATTAACTTCTCCAAGACTCATATTGTTCCACTCTTTTACTTGGCTGTTGTTTGATTTCAAAGATTATGTCCTATGACTGCTATTTTCTTCCTACTATCTGTTTCTTAATCCTTGCTTTGTTACAGTTTTTGACCTGAACCCTAAAATATTTATTTTGTCCTCAGACAAAGGGTCACGTGCCCTCTGCCCAGATCGCCCCCACATCAAACGAGTATGTTTTAGACCAGCTGTCCGTGTCTGAAGAAAAACTGACCAAAGTCATTGAAGAGCTGGACGGCAAAGATCTGCAGGAGATCTCTAAACAAATGGAGGAGGAGGAGGTACGGGGTGTTGTGTTGTTTCAGCCATGTTGGCTGGCACAGTCTAATGTTGATCTGTGACTGTGGTAGTTAATGTGGTGACTTCATAATCAACTATGTGATGGTAGATCTCAAGACTGCTAACCCAAAAGTCTTCAGTTCAAATCCTGAACTCTAGATTGTAGGACGTACCTGAGTCCACTCAGCTCTGATGAGTACCTGGCATGTTAGGGAAATAAATACAGCTGGGCTTAGTGCTGACTATACTATCCATCAGTCCACCAGGTTTTTTGAAACAGATAAACTTCTGTTCATTTGTCCTAATGAAAAAATTGGGTTTGATTATAATTTGAAAAATAATTTGTAAAACTTTGATAATAAAATTTTTAAGTATCAATTTTCTGTTTGCCAACAGTTCCACGCCAGCATAGAAGGGAAGTTACCTGCCTACAATACAAGGGTCAAGTTACCTCAAGCACAAAGAGATCTGGCATTTGGGGAAGGTAAGTTTCTACTTGAACATTTGTAAAACATGTGTACACAAATTTAGACCAAGACATTTTTACACAGCTTAAAAAATACATTTAGATGAAGCAGGGCCACATTTTTAACCTAGACAATTCTTGTACAGTTTCAAACATAAACAAATTCTGTAAATCATTTTAAACATTCACATTCACAAAAACCTTGACAAACCATTAATTAAAAAAAAAAACAACAGAGAACCTGAAAAACTAAACAATTTTTAGCAGAAAAAAACAAAAATACTTTTGTATGTTACCAATGTCTGTTAATCTTTTCTATAATTATGTAACGTCTCTTGTGTATATCTACCTTTAGAAATATTTGTATCTAAAGTCTGTACTTAATCTCTGTCCCTAATGTCTGTACCTACCTGTATCTAATATCTGTATCTAACTTGAATGTAATGTCTATATCTACCTGTATCTAATGTCTGTATCTACCTGTATCTAATGTCTGTATCTACCTGTATCTAATGTCTGTATCTACCTGTATCTAATGTCTGTATCTACCTGTATCTAATGTCTGTATCTACCTGTATCTAATGTCTGTATCTACCTGTATCTAATGTCTGTATCTACCTGTATCTAATGTCTGTATCTACCTGTATCTAATGTCTGTATCTACCTGTATCTAATGTCTGTATCTACCTGTATCTAATGTCTGTATCTACCTGTATCTAATGTCTTTATCTACCTTTCTAATGTCTGTATCTACCTGTATCTAATGTCTGTATCTAATATCTGTATCTATCTAATGTCTGTATCTATTGATGCCTTACTCCCTACAGAAGATGATGACAGTGGTGAAGACGATCTGGATGTTCCCAATAGATCGGCCATTAAAAAACAATCAGAGTTTATCGTGGAGAGTAAAACAAAGAGAAGGGTCCCTAAAAAGAAGAAGAAGATGAAGTAAACAATAACAATGTGTTTTAACAGATTCAACTTGTTTATGTGTAGAAGTTAAAATTTTAAGAATGTTTCTGTATCTTTAAGGGGAGATAAATGCAAAGCTAAAAAATTGTTATAATTGTACCATTGCTCTCCCCTGTATAAAAAAATAACCGCTGCCATTACTACAGTAGTAATTTCTTTATAACTGCTGATATTATTTTTAGAATATTTTAACCCTTAATGGCTAGTTTTGTTGTGACAAAATTCACTCCTTATAAGGCACAAGTATTAAATAATTAAGTTCGTTAATTCTTTCTTGTAAGTTTTGATTTTGTGGAATAAAATAGTTTTATATAATTGTGATCATTGTAAATTATAAATAAAAATAAATTAACATAAACATTGTTCATTTATTTCTTTGTGAGACTGTAATCTTACATGGCCTAATTATGAAATCTTTCAAAGCCAAAATTTGAAATCTAAAATGGCAAAATTTGGAAATCTTAAATGGCCAAAATTTGAAATCTAAAATGGCAAAATTTGGAAATCTTAAATGGCCGAACAATGAAATTTTACAAGGCCTATAAATGACTGGAAGAAACTTTGACATCAACCTTGATCAGTAAAGGGTTGTGAAATATTTTTTTAATTAACTTAAATTAAGATTATTCAATTTTTCTACTATGTTCTATCCAAAACTTAATCAAGCACTTTTTAAAAAAAATGTAGCTGCTGACCTATTGGACAGATTTGCAAACACCTTCACTATTGACCTACTAGCTACATTGTTTGACCTGTATTAAGCATCTTCTTTTTATTGTTGGTGATTTCTTCCCTTGTTTTTCAATTATTATTTTTTTAGCCAGAGAAATAAAATAACTTAAGCAATACAGACAAGTTACAGCTAGCTTATAGGAAAATAAAACGTTATTTCTTTAAAGAGGGATCAGAAATTGAATATGATTCTACGATTCTTAAATAATTATTGTAGAATGTTCTCAAACGTAGCCCACCCGCCTAAAGTAAGTGTGGCTGAGATTGTGTGAGATTGTGTGAGATTGTGTGAGATTGTGTGAGTTATGTACATCTGTGACAGGAATCTTCTCCTGTGAGGTCCCAGGGTTGAAAGGTTAAAGGTGAGGAGGGAACCATGAAACTCAGGGCAGATAGAAGCGGTATTTGATTTTATTGATTGTGGTTCTCGTGACGTCCTTCTACGTCATCAACATGGCGACGGCGAGCTCGCGTTTTATGCTTTAATGATGGAGGTTAAAGGTCGGGGGTAAAACGTGAGACCGGAAATGGAACAATGATCTTTGTCTGGAAGCTGGGGAGAGGGGGGTGGTAGTCTATTACTGCTGACTCCTACATGGTAAATTGTCTTGTTGGTTGGTCGTACATGTTGGCCCGTACATGTTGGCCGCACATGTTGGCCGTATATGTTGGCCCGTACATGTTGGCCGTACATGTTGGCCGTACATGTTGGCCGTACATGTTGGCCGTACATGTTGGCCGTACATGTTGGCCGTACATGTTGGCTCTTCTTGTTTGGTGAGTCATAATGTTTGAGGATGATAACTAAAGTTGAGATAAGAGTTAGTTAAAGATTTTTAACAATCATCTCTTTGATACCCAACCTTAGTTGACAAAAATTTACCCATGATTTACCTGTAGTTTACCAGTGGATAAAATGTGATTTACCTGTAGTTTACCCGTGGTTTACCTGTGGTTTACCTATGGTTTACCTATGGATTACACACCTTGTAACTAGAGACTAGATTGCTGGTCCTGCATTGACTTCTGCTGGAAGGCGTCAGGTAATAGCTAACGGTGGTCTTACACACGGTGGTCTGTCACTTGGTGGTTTGTTATTTGGTGGTCTGTCACAGACATAGTGATAAACCACTTATATGTCTGTGAGATATAATGTCTGTATTGAGGGTTAAAGAATCCTATACAAACTTCACTTATTACAGAGCGGATACGATGGTTATATCTGATCGCAAGCCGCAATGACTTCAGAAAGTGTATATACAAGACAACACTTGCTATATCCCATTTCAGACAGCCAATGTTATACTGAACTAGCTGCATACCCGTGCTCCGCCACGGTAAATCTTTTTTAAATGTACCAACTTGGGAACAGAACAAAACTAGACACAACACAACACAAACACAACACAAACACGACACAAACACAACGCAGCCACAACACAAACACAACACAACACCAAAAAACATGATTTGACCGCAAGTGCTCTTTGAAACAGAATTTCCCCGGTCGCTCATTGATAGCGTTATATTTAAAATGTTACTAGTTCTCTGGTTGGTCTGCTCTTTAATGTGTGTGCTGTGTGGTAGGTTGTAAAAAGATCTCCCGCCACTCCCAACATTATTTGTGTTGGGTAATTAGTTCTTTAAAAGTTCAATAACCTATCTTAACTCATCATCTACATTTCAATTAGCCAGCCCCACCCCTTATTGAGATGTCACACCAGACTAGCCCCTCCCTGTCATAGATCTACATTCTAAATGACATCTAGATATCTTGGTGCTTGGAAACGATATATATACGAATATTTCTGATTCAATTATGGCGCAGTTTTGTTGACCAGGAAATGGAGTTGACAGCGCTCTAGGGGATAAGAAAAGTGGTAGATCAAGCTTACACTAACAGAGGCGGACCCACAAGGGGATAAAAGGTTGGTAGCCCATCTCCCTCTTCCGGCTCCTTCTGAGCAATCATTGGCTTTTACTCTGGACAAACGCGGATTAATATTTCTAGCCCCGTATGTTTCTAACGCACTATTTGCGCATGGAGAAAGAGATCGGGAACTCTATTTTCTGAAAATCACAGTCTTCTTTCTTTTCACTCGATCCCAATCTTGGGCGGCGATGTTGACGTAGAATTACGAGACGGCACGTTCGGCAAACATCGGCAAACTTCGGTTAATCTCGCCCAAATCGGCGCTGCTTTTCTCCTACTCGGCGTTTTGTTACAGTCCCACCAAGTGGCCCTTTTCAGCCAATGGGCAAATGTTTTCCTAACTTTCACTCGTTAACCAGCCCTGGAGATTTGCTGCAGAAAAAACAGCTCCGCGCCTTGTAGAGTCACGATCTAAAAGACCTTTTATTGATGAAGATGACCCGCGGAGAAAAGGGGTCATTAATTAAATTTTACGCCTTGAACTCTCTTCCTTGTGATGCTAAAGCCTGCATCTGTTTTCTTACGGTGTGTTGATTTTTGGTGCAAACCGTATTCACATTTTTTACAAGAGTAAAATTTGCAGGAATTAAGTGTTGGTTAATTACTTGATAATTAGTTCTCTAATTTACTATCAGCGAAAAGTAGTTGTATTGTTTTTAATCAAGTAGAGAATGTAAAATGCCAAATTTTTAAGTTGTGTATGTTGCACACTGTCCATATTTACTAAGTTGTGTAGATAGTACAATGTACTTATTTAAAAAGTCGTGTAAATAGCCCAATATCTAATTTACAAAGTTGTGTCAATATCCCATATTCTCAAAATACTATATTCTCAATATCCCATATTCTCAATATCCCATATTCTCAATATCCCATATTCTCAATTTCCTCATTTTCGAAGTTCTACAATTTTCCCAATCTCCTTATTTACTAAATTGTGGGAAAAGCCCAATGACCTATTTAAAAAGTTGTGTCAATAGCCCCAAGTCCTTATTAATAAAGTTGTTTAAATAGCTCAGTGACTTTATTTACTAAAGGGTGTAAGTAACACAGTAGCATTATTATACAAACTCTGACTATGCAACAAGTATTATACACATGTTACGTTAGACTGACTCCACCAGAAGAAATCTATGCAGGGCATGTAGGCCCACACAACTGGAATATATTGTACAGGAGATTGTTTTGTAGCCGTCTGCTTGTAAGATTGGATAATAACATTGGCTACATTATTTTAAACTTGTATTTTTTTTAAAAAAAAAAAAAAGCATTTTTTGCCTAATATATTTAAAACTTCAGAATATCAAGAAATTTTTAAAAATATATATATTTGTGTAAAATAAAAGATGCATACTCGATCAATTTATTTTAATTTATTTTCGTAAACAAATGCATTACATTGAACAAAATTTGACATATTCACAATTTTTGAGATATTCAAAATCTAATAGCTGTTAGCGTGACTGTGTAGTCGAGTTGGTAATGATACACGAAGATATAATGTAAAACGTGTTTTTTGTATTGTTATTTTTTAATACTTTAATGTTACAATGAGCCGTCGGCCTAATGATGCCGTAGGTTTAATATCTGATAGTTTTAGTTTCACAAGTATTCGTATTCGCTTTGTATTCACATTAAGGTATTTGTTTCCATGAAAATAAATACATTCGTATAGTATAACCACACGAAAGGGGTGTTGGTACCTGTGACTAGCGTGGGAATTCTGGGCGAGAAGAAAAGTTTTCTAATATAGTATGACAATGTGTGACAAAAATGTTCTTTTATTAGAATAAAATAAAAGGGACGTAACTGAGTGGGGAGCAGATCGTGCGGGTGATGTCCCCTGACTAACATTCGCTTAGTTGCGTACTTGTGTTGTGGGTAGTTTACCGTCGTCTGCAAATGTGTTGATATCTCAGGGACGGGGCGGGTGTAGGGGGGTGGCGTGTGAAAAGTCCGTGAAGCGAGACCAGGCTAAGATGCAATCAAGTATCGGCGGTGATAATATCAAAGTGTACCGTGGCTTGGGTTCTGTCTTGTCGGCTGGGGGGGGGGGGGGATACAGGTAGTGTGGGTTACACCTGGGGGGTGGGGCACCTGTCAGGTATGACATAGGTAATTATAAGGCTGGAATCATTGGAGGTTTTAATGATGAGCAGGGTGCCGCTGGGTGGGGGGGGGGAGGGGGGGGGGGAGACGGGTCTGTGTCACGTGATTCTGTTATATCGAATTTCAGAAGTAGGTTAGAAGTTTTTGTTTGTTATTTGGGTTAAGTTGTTGTGTTTGTTGTATGGGCTAAGTTGTAGTGATGGTTGTAGGCTAAGTTTTAGTGTTGGATGTAGGCTATAGGTTAAGTTTTAGTGTTGGTGTTAGGCTATAGGTTAAATTTAGTGTTAGTTGTAGGCCATAGGTTAAGTTGTAATGTTTGTTATATGGGTTACGTTGTAGTGTTGGTTGTAGGCTATAGGTGGTGTTTTAGTGTTGGTGTTAGGCTATAGGTTAAGTTTAGCGTTGGTTGTAGGCTATAGGTTAAGTTTAGTGTTGGTTGTAGGCTATAGGTTAAGTTTAGCGTTGGTTGTAGGCTATAGGTTAAGTTGTAGTGTTTGTTTAATGGGTTACGTTGTAGTGTTGGTTGTAGGCTATAGGTGAAGTTT